TGATAATCGTACGACTTTTTCAGAATTCACCCAAAACTTGAAACCATTACACAACTGAATTAAACTCGTGTACTGAAACCGCTTGTTAACGAGGGTCGTAGAGGTACGTAAAGCAGTTTTGGATTTATGGCTATCTACCGCCGTTACTAATTTTGAACCACTGACCAGAATGAAAGTATCACCTCACCATCAAATTTAAGGGATTAACTGTTATTCTTATAACGCATCCTCATCTTAAACCCGGTTCGCCAACTCCGAAAGCCAGAGCTCCACAACATGACCAACCTGGGCTCTCAAGCAGCTTGAATTGAATCTTTATATAACACTGAATTCAGTCACGTGCAATATGTTCTATATGTATATAAGTGAGGATTTTACTAATATCATTCTTTTGTTCCTAAATTAAGCAAACTGGGAACTTATTATACCATTTATTTATCTAAATTCCTCGTAATTATTATTATTACCAATGAAAATTTTAAATAGGAGATGTTAAAATAGTAGTTTTCAGACCTAACTTTGGGTTAACCCACTACTCATCAGATAATGGAATCTATAGCCGCTAAAATATCTATCGAAAATGCTGTTTGCAGTTCTTTGAATTGAAATGTTATATTACTATATTTTAGTTAAACGGATTTTGCTAATGTTATTTGACTTGGTAATAAAATTAATAATATTATCTAATCTTATTCAATTTCAAATTCAACTTAAATGGTTGAAAAACTACTGTAAGAAATAACCCTTTATGTTGTTACGTTAAAACATCGCATCTTTTATTAAGCCTCCTAGTAACAAAAAACAAAGGTTGTTAGGCTATATTGGTAGTTATGGAATCTAAATACTACATTGTACATAAGTGATTGGGCGTGGTGGGATTTCTGTTTCCATTGGCGTTTCAGGCCTGCAGTTCATTCCCATATTAGTTTATAGGTTTGGGTTAGTTGTTTTGTCTTCGGTTCCGTTGTATCTGACGTACATGTTCCAGTACCATTAAGTATTATTCTACAAGTTAAAACAGAATTCTTTTTAAAGTATACTGTTTCGATAAATATTCTGTCTTAAGGTTTTCTCAAGTTCATCACTTTTACATTCAACATTCTTTGACTGTTGGAAAGCAAAGATTCCTCGCTGTCGGGGTAGCTTAACACTATTCCTGACACTTACATTTCAGCCGAGTGAAGATTTTCCGCTTTTGTATGTGTGGGACTTACTGCTTAAAACAGGATGGTATTAATAGTTTAGAACTCTTTTTAAAGAAGCACTTTTTTTTTGTACGTTAAATCTATTTAGAACAGTTGTAACGATTTGTGGTTTGAAAATAAATATTTTTTTCTTCTTCAGCCACCAGAAGACTAGAAATAGGTTTTTCACTTGATATTCCCATAAAATGGCGGAAGCTAGACACGCCTCCTGTCTACTCTCGCTTGTCCCTCGTGCCAACAGGTGACAGTGGTCACACGCTCACTAAAGAAAGAACAGTCTTGATTCTATTTGAAGTAACATTTTATAAAATAAATTTATAGGGTTAGTTACAATAAGTAAGATCGTACGCACAAGTACGTAGCTGGGACACGCAAAGCAACCATTTTTAAGTTCGATTGAAAATTAAGAATATACATTTGTAGCAAAATACTCATCAGGTTCTATATTTAGAATGATCTAAACAAACTACAGGTATAATGTTTTCTCCACCAGTTAACGCTTAGCTGTATAAAGCATATATTAGTGATTAGAGATTGATCAGTGCACGTGTTTTTCGATAGAAATGACGATAATCAACACTGTGACGTCAAATACACAATGCTTTTATCATGCTAATTTTGATTACTGCTTGTCGCGTGTCTCGGACTAAAGTGTAATCCAGTGTTTCACATATTTGAATTATTTTGGTATTATTGCCCGAGAGATTCAAAAAAAGAAGGAAATAATTGTTGTTGTAAATGTTGTAAAAGTTCTGTATATGGATGGGAGTATGAAATTTTCATAGCATGAACTAATACACGGTCAGTGTCACCTTGAGGAGGACCGGGCGTGACTTAGTTGTTAGCGTACCCGAACTGTGAATCCGAGGATTCATGATTCGTGACCCGTTATTGTAGAAACTCACTCCACACTGTGGGAGCGCCATGAGTATGCGCAGATAGGCCTTATGTAGCTTTGCGCAGTATTCTAGAGAACACAAAAATTCTGTGGGAAAATGACAGACCTAAAAGAACATATTGATAAAGCTGTAAGATACCAAGCTAAGTAATTCCTTTGTTAAGTAAAATATGAAGAGCTGACAAGCTAAATTTCACGAGAAGATACACGTGAATTTTTCATTGTCCACGTTACGGACCCTCATATTATGGCGAAATGATCACTTTCACAATGTCCTTACTCTCTATACATACCGTATTTTTCGGTGTGTAAGACGCACTTTTTTTACCCCCAAATTTTATGTCAAAATCTGCTTGCGTCCTATACACCGAAGGTATGAATAATATATACGATATACACAAGTCATGTGT